AACATGTTAATGTTCTGTTCAAGGGACTTCCAAACGTCCCTCTGGATTCAAGGTAACAAAATCCTTGGGTGAGAGAGGGAGGCTTCTGGTACAACCCCAGAACCTTACAATGACTACTCGATGAAAAACAATGGAAGGTGGAAGACAATGGAAAGATGTCTTTACAGTACTGCGAGAGAGTAACTGCTACTCAAAAAATGTATATTCAGTGAACATCTCTTTCACGAATAAAGAGGAAATTAAGGCATCTTTCTTTCTCTAAAGAAAACCTTAGAGAATTTCCCACCAGTTGCCCTATAGCTCCTTAGTGAAGGTCATGCTCCCAGGGTCACAGGAGGTAGGTCAAAACTGAGCGCGAGAGAAGGCGAAAATACGGGCACCAGGATGCTAAGCACAGGGCTAAAGGCTGAGTCTGCGCCTCAAAAGCTGCCCCCAGCAGTGCTCGGCCCCACCTCTTGAAATCGCACTATCTGTTATAAATAAGCCCTTTCTTGTTGCCTAATGGCCCTCCCTACACGGCCATGGGACCACCACAACTACCCACCTGCAGAAAGGCTGCCCTCCCTACAGAAGCTAGCTCAAGTCCATTTTCATCCATGAAAACTTCCCTCACGGCTTTAGCCACCAGGGCCTTTTCTCCCACAGCAGGTATTAGCTGCAGGATGCAGTCATCCAGAGTGTCAATAAATGTCCCTTAAATACATCATTGTTACAAAAGAAAACCGGTGGCCCTGGCTCGGTGCTCAGTTGGTGGGAGCACAGTCCTGATACTGCAAGGCTGCGGGTGTGAGCTCCGAGTCAGGGCACACACACAAGAAACAACCAGTGAATCCGTAAGTAAGTGGAACAACGAACTGATGTTTCTCTCTCTCTTTCTCTCCTACCCCCCCATTCTCTCTCTCCCTTCCTCCCTCTAAAATCAATAAATACAAAACAATTTTTTTAACTGTGCTAAGTGCAGTGGAGGAAGGATTAAAAAATGTGTACAGCATGATCACTATCCTCAGGGAATTAACAAGGTAACTGGGGATATGAGGCATAAGTCATATAAAGATAACTAATGCTACAATTATAATAATAAAAGACTGCAACGGAGATCAGAAGGCAATGCATGATTAATGGCCAATTAAGAAAACTAGTTCATAAAGAATACATAAACATTATTAGATGCATCTGTAAGGGGAAGCTTTGTGGTAAAGAGCTTACAGGGTGGAGAGGAATTGTCCAGACAAAGTAAGAGAGGTGGGCCAGGCAAGGTGAAGGTCGATGGACACAGCCAGAGCAGGGCAGAGGAGGATGTGTGTGCTGATGTCAGCATAGCAGGCGACAAAGGTGCCGGTGTCGGTGGGGTTTTGAAAAAGGCACCTGGCATGCAAGACAAGCACACCCTGGATATTTTACCTAAATCATCTCTCAGCTTCACAACAGCCCCAATCAGTTCAATGTTATCACCCGCAGCTTGGAGACGAGAGAACGTATAGCTTGAAAAGGTTAGAACAACAACAATAAAAAAAAAAAAAACAGAAAAATGTGTCCAAGCCCCCAGATGGGGAACCAAGGTTTGAACCCAAATCTTTCTGGAAGGTCTCAAACGCCCAGCTAGAGACTGAGCTCGATCGTGGTGACCACTAAGAGTCCTAATGCCCACGTTTCACTGCCACAGACCAAGCAGCACTTCACACACAGGCAAGTGCGGGCAAGGAGATAAGTTAGACGCTGCTGCTCTGGTCCGGGATCGAGGCTGTGGGCACGCCCGGGGAAAATGCAAATGGCAATACCCTTGGAGGGATGCAGTAGCAATTTTCAGCAGTCATTTCTCCAGAACATAAAATCCTTCCCCAAACAGACATTCCTCTTACACGACATGCTACACCCCTCCCACGGATTTTTGTGCATTTTTTTTTTAGCAAAAGCAAGAGTTTCAGCAAAAAAAATTATGTGAACTGAGAGGAAACTGAACTGAGTTGAAAACTGAAAAACCATCACCCTCATCATCATCGCCACCATCACATTCATTCAAGTGTTGCCTAGGCATCGGGCACCAGGCCCAGCGCCTTCCCCCGCCTACTCCATCTAACCCTCAAACCGGCTCCAGGAGGTGTAGTCGCTTACTTCCTGCCTGCAGGTGAGGACGCGAAGGAGCTGCTCCCCGAGCTTCAGAGCTCTGACCTGGTGAAGTCTGGGTTCCAACCCAGATCACCAAACCCTGGAGAACACGCCCCAACCCTGCAGAGGCATGTTTTTCAACCCAACAGGTTGAAACCCAACGTTGCAACCCAACGGGACATCATGAAATCAATTTATTGGATTATGATTGGCACTTTAATGTTCAACGTATGAGAATACAGACTGGAAACTATGAGAGGCCCCCAAACAAGAGTGCGCCTGGTTTTATTAAAGTTGTGTTTCAAATTTACATTATACTGGCTCTGTGGTCAAAAACGTACAACGCGCATCGCGAGGGGCAGAACTGCTTGCCAGATGTGTACACAGATGTGTGTGAGCATGTGGGTGGCGAGTGGAAGTGGAAAGCGGAGGAGAAGCAGCGAACACTCAGAGCTGTACTGACTCCTGGCAGACAGAAGTGAAATGTATGAGCAGACTAATAGCATGTTCAGAGCTGAGATACAGTAATATCACTCTGTGTATTAGGGGAGGGCTTTGGGACCTGCCCAGCCAGCTCCACTCAGCACTTCTCTGCCTACAGTGTTCAGATCACAACATGCTCCCCCGGGGACCCTGGGGGCCGGAGCCAACACCGAGCCGAAGTCACGAAGTCAGGGAGACATCGAACCTTTCAAGGGCACGCCGGACATGGAGGAAGGCCCACCTCTCAGTGTGCACACTGTCCACACTGATGCAGAAGCAGGTTTAAAAGCTTTACTGCGCCTCAGGAGAGTTAGTGAACGATGGGAACCACTTGTATGATATCCGTTCCCTCCCTGATGTGATGCTTATTTCACACATGTATTGTTTTCTTTCACTGGACCTTTAAAAAGATGCATGTCAGTCTCTAACCCAATTTTGCTCAAGGTTCTAAGCACCTTGGGCATGAATTCTCCTACTATGTGGATCTTTTAGAAACCCAACTTTGAATGATGTGGCAGGATTGCCGGAAATGGTTACCCTAAATATATCGTAATCCAGTTATTACACTCCTCTGTTCACCTAAACTAGCATCCCGAAACTGCACGTGCAATGTTATTACCTGGGGAATCACAAAAACACTCCATGGCCCTCTCCTAGACGAACGGAATAAGCACCTCCCGGGCTTAGAAACCAGGAATGACTCACTGTCCCAGGGAAAGTCTGGTTGCTGCTGGGGCAGTGCTACCATTCAGTGCCCACTTGCCTGGTGGTCTTCCGAATTTGACGGCTAACAAATGCCTCCTGTTGGGTCACGACAAACAGGGAGAGCAATGGCAAATAGATTTCGTTATGAATGGATATAAGTGTGTATGAAATTAAAATTCTAAAATGCCTTTAGCCCTGGCTGCTGTGGCTCGGTGGATTGAGCGCCGGCCTGCAAACAGAAAGGTCCCTGGTTTGATTCCCATTCGGGGCACATGCCTGGGTTGTGGGCCAGGTCCCCAGATGGGGGCATGTGAGAGCCAATGGACTGATGTTTCTCTCCCTCTTTTTCCCCCTCCCTTCCCCTCTCTCTAAAAGTAAATAAATAAAATCTTTAAAAAGTTAAAAAATTAAATTAAATTAAATTCTAAAATGCCTTTAAAAACCGCAGACCAAGTTTCTCAAATTGAGAATCACCCAAATGAGAGTTTTGCATATTTGCCATTCTACCCCCTGTGCTCTCATTAGGCATGTTTTCTATACTCGTTTAGAAGACACTACCCCGCAGCTACTTTACCAAAATGACCCTGGCTCTGACCACAAACTACTCTGGTACCCGAAACCGTGCAATTCAGCCTCTGGTAGCAACTGCACGGCCCCACACCCTGAAACTGACATCTGGCCTCCACATGTATGCTCCAAAGACACCAAAATATCACGGGAGCTCAGCCGTGGTGACCCAATGGGCTCTCCAGGAAACGGTGCTCCCTCCAGGGAGTGCGTGCCATCTGGGGGGCCGTGCCCTTTCCCCAGAGGCCCCAACCCTACCGGCCACCCTGCCCCGCTCCCTGGAAGGCCCACTCTCTGCCCCGTTCTCACAGCTCATGTGCAGCAATTCAAGGCAAGACCCAGTCATAACACCAAGACCACGGGCTCTTCGGGGAGCGTCTCCTCTCCTGCGCTTTCAGGTCCCGCAGCCCTTCCCTGCTTCTCCCTCACCAGCTCCTGCCCTCAGTCCCCACGGGAGCCGTCTCCGATCTCCCCACCCTCACCCTCCCTCCCTCACTCCCACAGTCATCAGCCCCTGCGGATGGTCTTGCCTCCAACTTCAGAGAGCAAACTAGAGGCCACAGGCCCTTCTTCCCGACCCTCTCACGCCCTTCCCTCTTCACACCCACGAGGACTCTTGTGCCCTCCTTTGCCCTTCTCCCCACCAGGTGGGCAGTGACAGCTCTCGGCAACAGGGCGTGGGGCAGGATGAAGAGGAGGAATGCTTGGATTCCTTTCAGATCTGCTGAGTTTGAAATGTGTTTGTAGTGTCCAAAGAGAGGGGTTGGGTGGGCAATGAGGTATGTGAGGCTCAGGAAAATGGCCAAGCGCCCCTTCACATGTTGTTCAAATGCCATCTTTCCCCCTGCCTGTCATGGCCAGCACAAAGCTTCCTTGAATTCAAAACACACACTGCCTCTAACACGTATCTTACGCTGTCTCCCTGTCATTTCCCCTGCCTTAATCCACGGGGACAAACACTCTCATCCAGCTGCAAACCTACTGGAAACCCAATAATGCCACATACATTGACTACATTGTACTTTGCACCCAGCAGGCACCCAGTAAACACAGACCAGCCCTGTCCAGCTGTACTGGACATGTTCTCCATCTCCGCAGCCCTACGAGGTAGCCACTAGCCACGTGTGGCTCCTGAGCACCTGAAATGTGGCCAGTGTGAATGAGGAACCGTCTGTCCCAGTTTCAAGGCTGGTTCTCGTCCTTGCAAATCACAGCGAGTGGTCGGGTTTCTGTGAAAACAAAGTATCTGCACTGAACACCCTGCAGGGTCCCTGCAGAGGCCAGTTCCCCACCCAACACTGAAACTGTTCTATTTCGAGAATAGCCTGGTTTCTAAAAGCCTGGCTCACACTCCTCCAGCGATTTTAATCCCCTTTTGGAAGGTGTCCCATTGGTGAGCTTCTGCGAGAGTAATTCCCACCCTGGTCCAGACCCACACACAACGGCAGCTGGCAAGCACAGGGCACACGTCCCATAACGACAGGAACAGTAGCAACAAGTGTTAAGTGCGTACAGGCATTGGGCAAGTTCTAAGCTCATTATGACCGTTAGTTCATTTGATTCACAGCAGCCCCACAAGTTAGGGGCTACTGAGATAAATCCCCATGTTACAGGTGAGGAAACTGAGGCACATAAGTGAAGTAACTTCCCCGAGGCCACAGAGGTACTGGGTGGCAGAGCTCAGATTTAAACGGGAGTCTTAGCCTGTGGCCTTTGAGGCCAAAGTGATGTCTCCTTAATGAGGTATGGAGGCCCCAGGCCTCCCAGTCTGACCCAGAGTCCTCCCTGAAGGGGCCCCAGCCAAGGCCAGGGCTTCCCACAGACACAAAGTCATGGGCATGGATGTTCAACGGAGCATGACTTATAACAGCCAAACATTTCAATCAATCCAACTACCAGACAGTAGGAAGATGACTAATACAATGTGGTACATTCAAATAATGGAATATTGAGACTATAAAAGACGATTTCAACTGTGAGGGGAAATGCTCAGAATAGATAAGCTAATACAGAACGAATATATATAATTATATACTCTATGTATACATTTTTTGTATTCCGTATTAGTACTATGTAAGTTAGCATAGTCCAGATTATAATACAAGTTAATACATAGAGAAAAAGCAGGGAGTAGGGGTCAATGTCAATCATCAGGGCAACACCTTTGGAGGACCTGCTGGGCCAGGGGTGGCCGCCCCACGGCCGCTGAGTCCGGGCGCTGACACAGTCCGCGCTCCTTGGACAATGCAGATGACAGAGAGCTGCAGCCACTGCAGCCAGCTCGCAGAGGCGGCCAGTACCACCTAGAACGAGACTGATGATGGGCAGCTGGGGGGGGATGGGCACCCTGACCCCAGGGAGCAGGAACCGGTGAGTGCCATCCTGAGTTCACTCCAAGCCCTGAGATTTCCGAGAGTGCTGATGTCAGCCGAGGACTCTCATTTCAGGTTAGAAAATAAGAACAACACGGCAGTAGGGAGTGTTCTTCTCCACACAACTGAGAAGGCTTCCTTTTACCCTTCATCCCTCTGTCCTTCCCTCCCTTTATGAATAATTTAGTCCAAAAGCCCAGTAAGTGAAATGGAGCAAAGGAGACATACTAGATTGAGTAATCTTCCCCCAAGTCCATGTCCACCTGGAGCCTGTGAATGTGACCTCATTTGGAAACAGGTCAGACGTACCTGTGTGTAAATGACGCCACGCTGGATTAGAATGGGCCCTCACTCCAGCATGACCAGTGTCCTGACACCAAGAGGGACAGCTGGACAGGGACACACACAGAGAGGAGAAGCCACCTGGGGACAGAGGCGCAGACTGAAGTGACGTATTTACAAGGCACGGAGGCCAAGGATCACCAGCTGCCCCGGATGCCAGGGCAGAGGCATGGAGCGGACCCCCCCTCAGTCACCTGAGGGAACCAACCCTGCCCGCACGGTGATTTCTGACTTTGGGCACTGTTACGGCAGCCACGACAGACATAACATCATGGGCATTAGGGGAGGGGGACAGTGACATCTCCTATGGGGGACTGGCATAAAGAGGGTGTCCACTTTGTGGGTCGGAGGTAGAAGCATCTGTCGTGCGGAGTATTCGGGCCCGTGCGGGGCAGCAAGGACAGATGCAGGAGGGAGACCAGACTGAAGTGGGGTGTCAGGGCCCCAGCTGAGTGAACAGTGCAGGGGCACACAGCCCCACCTGGGGGTAGGAGCCCAAGCAGTGGGGGGAGAAGGCATCCTCATTCAGGTGGGGCAGCCGTGGGGACCTGAGATTGGGCACATGCAGGCAGCTGAGTTAATAATACACTGAGGATAATGAGAGCCGTGGATGGAGAAGGGAGCTCAAATACAGAAAAAAAAACAAACAAAACAAAACTAGATTAACCCCGGTGTTGGATTAGAATAGAACTGAACTCATGGTTTTTCATACATCTCAGTAAATACAGGAAAAAACCCAGATACGACAAAGCATGTGTCTGTGTAAGCCTATGCGTGTAAGTCGGTACACACAGTCCCTAACCCGGCCCACTCAGAGGGGCGGGGGCAGCAATACTCCAAGGGTGATGAGCATGTGGAGTGCCCAAATCTTAGCTTTGAAGTCACGTTCCCCACTGAGAGGAACCAGGGCTCCTTGGGAAATGGCTGATTCCAGGGCTGGGGCCAGGAGAGCAAAAGATGAGCCCAAGCCACTGGGGGGGGGGGGGGTGCTCGGCCAGAAATCAAGGAAGTGCCCAAAGAACTTGGGGGCACAGCAAGAAGACACAGCAGCCAAGGTAAAGGGCCTGCCCCTTGGCCAGCTCTGAGTTAATCTGCACATCCAAATAATGATAAAAATGTGTCACAGCCCATTGAGTAAAGCAGGGGCTACGGAAAAGGAAAACAGGGAGAGGAGAAAGCTTTTCTGTGAAGTCGATGCCAGTTAATGAACGTGGGAAGGCGCCTGAACCGGGAGATCGCCGTCTGGCAGCTATTAGAGTTGTCACGATTCAGCCAGGAACCTCCACAGACGCGAAAACCAGCGGGCGAAAGGCCGACGAGAAATGGGGCACTCACGTCGTCGCAACCTACCCCCCACAGATCATTTTTTATTGCAAAGGGGAAAAGTGTGACTTGACAATGGAGAAGCCCGCCCGACAGCTCCTTAAGGAAATGGTCTTGAGGAACAAGTCAGTCACACACCGGCCGAAAGGACGCAGGAAGAACCTCAAGGCACATCTGGGATATTCTCAGAACCTGAACCTAATCATGAGAAAGCCACCAACAAACCCGAACTGATGGGCCCTCTAGAAGACAAGTGGCTTGTCACTGTCAAAAACGTCAAAGCCATGGGCGTTAAGCAGCGATTACAGAGGCATGACCCCCTGAGCCTGCACTGATTTCTTTTGCTACGAGGGACATGGGAGGGACAACAGGCCAACCTGATGGGGCCCGGGGATGAGACGGCACCCGTGTTAATGACCTGACTGTGACAGTCACATTGTGGCCACACTGGAGTGTGTCCTTGTTTGCAGGTAGGGCACACTCACGTATTCAAGGGTGATGGGACCTCCTATTGGCAAGTTACTCTCCGAAGGTTCAGAAAAATGATTACCTGTACTATTTTTGCAACTTTAGTGTAAGACTGAAATTAGTTGCAAAGAAAGAGCCCTGGAGAGGAAGATGTTAGCAAAGTACATGAACGCTACACCTACAGTTCTGAGGGGGAAACTGCTCCATATCGGTAAACACAACAACCTCCAGAAGATCCCTTCTCGTGGTACTCAAATGCCGTTGCTGGCAGTTTCTTCTGAAGCGAGGCTCCAGGACGGTACTAAGTGCATCCATCGCCTTAGCCCTCCGCATAGTCGAGCTGCAACTACCTGAACCAGGAGCCGCAAAGCCTCGCTTCCCAGGGAGGATGAGGAGCGACGGCCCCTGATTCGTTTCCATTGTAGGTCAGGTGGGAAACTGGAAATGAGACGACCAGAAAGCTCCCCTGCATGTTTGGAGCAAGGCTCTCAGAGGCAGGCATCAGAGATTATCCCCTCCCGTCCGACTTCTGCACTAATCACAGTCAAAGTTTAAAACACAAGGTTGGTGACCAAGAGAAGTGGGCTCCCCTCACAGGCTCAGTTCGAGCAAAGGAAAGGAGTTAGCATGATATTCTCAAGACACATCCATGTTGTCACGAACAAGACAGACACACAAACACTCAAAGACACAGACAACAGTGTGGTGGTCATCAGAGGGAGGGGCGGGGGCTGCTGGAGGGCAGAGGGGGTCAAAGATACGATGAGGGAAGAAGACTTGATCTTGGGGTGGCAGACATACAACGCAACACACAGACGATGTATCAATAGAATTGCTCCCTTGGAACCTCCGTAATTTTATTGACCAATGTCACCCCAATAAGTTTAATTTTTAAAAAGTACAAAAAATGATTAGGATGGCAAATTTTATGTTATGTGCACTTTACTAGAATAAAAAAAAAATGTGGGGGGGGGGAGAACCATCCCTGGGCCGCCACTGACCGCGTTCATTAGACACTCTGCCTTCCGAGGCCCGAGTCACCCCACCGGGCTGCTCTCTGTGGGGCATTTCAGGCCAGCTCCGAGCCGTCACCAGAGCTCCCAAAGCTGGCATTCCCAGCACAGTTTCATTTCCCTTCATGACAATATTCCCACTGCCACAGCCTTTCAAGAGCTGGGCTGAGAAAAGGCCCACCGTGAGCAAGGGTTTCTGCTTTTTGTTTCTCGCTGACAACTTTCCCTCCACTGGTGGAGTCCAGGGCCTGAATAACCTTCAGTTCTATTTTCTCTAACTTGGCTGAAGATTTTAGTAGTGACGCTGGCCTGGGAGAACATACAGAGCACATGCTTACTGCTCTCCAGAGAGTCACCAGCACACTGTAAGAACAGAAAGTGAAACCAGCGGGTCAAAAACAATTCCTTCCTTCAACACAGCCACCCCCAACAGCTGTGTCACCTGCCCTGAAGCCAGAGTGCCCGTGTAAACAGTACACGCGTGATCCGCTCAAAGCCCACGGGTGGCACATGCCAGCTACACCTCCCTCCCTGTCCTCACTCCCCAAGCCTCCAACCAGTTAGCTGTCTGTACTGGGCCTCTGCTTCCATTGTCCCTTAGCCTCAAGAATGTCCCCTTTCACTGGTTAGCTCTGACATTCTTCAGTCTTAGCTTCAAAATCACTCCCTCAGCAAGCCTCCTCAGTCCCCGCAGCCCGCCCAGCGCCAACT